TCTCTCTCTCACACACACACACACACACACACACACACACACACACACACACACACACACACACACACACGCACGCAGAACGATGGAGGGGGGGGAGAAAACGTTTCTGCCAATTCTTTCAGTGAAGAAAACGTTTCTGCCAATTCTTTCGGTGACACTCGGAGGTTGAGGTAAAGAGCGGAGGAAGAGGTGGAGACCCGTGGAGGGAAATACAGCAGGAAGAGGAAAAGGAATCAAAGGATAGCGGATGATGGGAGAAAGCCAGGAGGAGGAGGAGGAGCGACAGGACCAGGCAGAAACGGAGACAAGGCAAGAGGAGAGAGAAGAGGCAGATGGGGAACAAAAAGATAGAAGTAAGAAAACGTAATGAAGCTGCCAGTGGGTGATCGCCGTGGAATCGTTCACCAAGCTTCCTGTGGGAAAACGATACCGAATCTCTCGGCAGCCATACGCGCTGCATCGACTTCTGCATCCTCCACGTGTCGAGGGAATTCTAACGACTTCACATCTTCGCTAAAATCCCCCTGCAGCTCTAAATCTCCTCCTTCCCAGTCTCCTTCTCCTCCTCCTCCTCCTCCTCCTTCTCCTTCTCCTCCTCCTCCTCCTCCTCTCCCATTCGCTTTCGCTTGAGCTATCCTATGATGATCCAAAGCCTGTTTTCGTAATTGGCTGGTAGGAGTGCCCACCTGTAGGAAGTAACTCTCGTATCCTCCAGGGACAAAGATTGCCAGCAGACGAGCGAGCTCCCTCGACTCGTTAAGGAAACCGTGCGGCACTCCACGTGGAAGATGGACGAACCTTCCGGGCCTCACTCGAGAGAAATCCCTCTCTCCTACGCGCCACGTCATCTCTCCTTCCAACAGGTACCATCCGATATCCTCCCTGGTATGGCTCTGGACTCCCCAGGCGCGCCCAGGTGGCACTTGGTATTCAACGACGGAGTATCGACAATTCGTCGTTCTGTCCGGACATGTAATCACTACCCTGCTACCCATCAACCACACGGTTGACGTGGCAGGGACATCAGATCTCTCTTCTCCTCCTCCTCCTCCTCCTCCTCCAGCTGCTTCTCCGTCACGCGCACCAACCGTGCGCCCATCTCTCTCTGCTCCAAACATGTACTCGGCATCCCCGGTGGCCTTCTGATGGTCGATGCTCGACACCACCGGCTGCCGCGCGGGCTGGTCCGCAGGCGGGATTCCAACCTGAGGGCGGATTGCAGGGGAGGCTGCAGGCTGATCGACAGGCTCGGTAAGGGGCCCGGCTGGAGACTTGGCGACAGGCGGGAGGTTGGGAGCTGCTGCGTCAGTTTGAACGCGAGGCGGCGGCGGAGGAGGAGGAGAGGGAGAAAGAGGAGCAGAAGGAGAAGAAGAGGGAAGAGGAGGCGGAGAGGGAGGATAAGGGAGAGAAACAGCAGCAGCAGCAGCAGCTGCAGGAGGAGGAGGAGGAGGAGAAGGAAGAGGAGAAGATAGAGGAGGAAGAGAACGACGAGAATGAGCAGCAGCTGACGACTTCGAAGAAGTAGAAGAAGAAGAAGAAGAAGAAGAAGAAGAAGAAGAAGACGTGTCGGTTTGGTTTGCTGCTGTTGTTTCCAAACCCGACCCGCCGTCCGTTGACTTATTGACTTCAGAGTCTTCGATACGACCACCTCCTAATGGCTCTCCAACCTCTCCTCCATCGCCATCGCCATCGCCATCGACACCGGCTGAGCGCCGCACACGCTCACTGCCACCATCGCTATCACCCTTCCCTGTACGATTCACCCCAGGGCCTTCGTCTCCGACAACGCTTACCCCGTCTGCCCTGGGGTCACCCGTGCTGTCCTTCTGCTCCGTCATCAAACCGACAGTCGGTTGTGACCGTTGTGATTCTTGTGACCAAAACCTAGGAACTGTTACAGTGAAACTATGCCAACCTCTCGACGAGCAGTATCGTATCGGTTCCGACAGCCAACGCGACGGTCCAGCTGGAACACCACCGCTGCAGAGGCCTGCACTCGTCCCTGCCCTTGTCCTTGACACGTGGCCACCATCCGAGTCCCCGCAGACGGCGGTCACCTTGCCGCCATCGCTGCAGCTCCGTCGATTTCCCCCTCCACTGATCACCCTCTTCTTCTTCGAATCGCTCCAAATCCTGTTCGTCGATGAAAATTTCGGAACCGACCCATCGCCGGCGAAAAGGTCAAGGTGATAACCGTTGACGTCAACGCTCCACGACCGCGTGGTTGCTGCTCCTCCTGCTTGGCTACGACCGGTGTTCCGATCGCCGGCGAAGAGGTCAAGGTGATAACCGTTGTCGTCAACTTTCCACGACCGCGTGGCTGCTGCTGCTCCTGCTTGGCTACGACCGGTACTACACTTCATCCCGATCTGCTGCCCGATGCCGCCGACGTGGCTCGTCCCCACGTGGCTCCGCCCCATGCTTCCCATCCTTATCATCCTCAGCACCCTCATCATTGTCATGTCGATGGACCGTCCTTGTCCAGTCGACTGGAAGTCCAATGAAGCAGAAGCGGCCGCTGACGAGCGCGGGAAGAGATTTCCACACCAAAAGTCAAAGTCCACATCAGCTGGTTGACTGCCTGCCCGCTGCTTTGACCGGGCATCTGCCACCAGTTGCGCCCTCGCGGCTGATGCTTCTTCTTGTAAGAGACATGCATCGACCACCCTGAGGCTCTTCTCTCCCAGACCCTCCCCCCTCCGGGTCCTCCCACGACGTTGACGGAGCCAATCAATTTGTGGAAAGCTCTCAGACTGCTGGAGATATAACTGATGTTGGAATTGTTTCTGTCCCAGCTTCCGCTGAGCGTCCGCTTGATCTTCCACGTCGATGATGTTGGTCAACGGTCGCCGTTGACCGTTGACTACTGCTTCCGATCGAATGCAGATCCATGCATGTTGTAGGTCAACGCCGAGAGCGCCGACTTTCACAGACCTTGTGACACGGCTTGGAAAGAAACCTCTGCTCACGGTGTGCATTTGCTTCGTTGATAAGGCTGACAAAATTGTGCTTAATCTGGTGATGACGATCCCTCGCAAGTATGACACTCAGAGACAGAACAGAGGACTGCCAATCCACGGTGGAAGATGCTGACGTGGATTTATATCTAATCTATTGCTTGGAGCCTTCGACCAACCGGCTACGACCGGCTTCGACCGGCATTAGCGCCGGAATGACCACTCACACACTCGTCTACAACTGCCGCAGTAGGCTCGACCGGTAGGCTGGAGCGAAAAGACGTCGTGACGGTCTCTTTTTGCATGCTGTTTGTGTTTCTTTCGGCATCTCTGACATGCTGCTCGTTATACTATCCCACCTGGCACTTGTCTTTCGCCCGTCCTAGCATATACATCATACAGGTCCTCGCTCCGCCACTCACGACACACTGTCAGTCGACACTTACAAAAGACAAAAAATCGCGGTGCATCTTCTGATCTTCAAGTTGCCATGCTCAGATGATGTTCTAGCGGAAGGTTCATTCTCAATTTGCACATTTGGAGAGTCTACGGTAGTGGAGCGAAGTCCACGCACATTGAATTTTCATTCACACTAAATTTGACAGTAACGCCGCACAGTTACATCCAATGAAAGTCCGAGTTTGGAAGTCAGCGGCCAAGTGCGGACTGGCTCAGTTGGTAAGGCACACAATGTCATGTGGCATTCAGGTGGTCTGGGCCCTTGGGTTCAGTTCCCATTGGTCTCTTGTACCTACCTGGGCATACTGGGTGTCATGTGGCATTCAGAAGGTCTTGGCCCTTGGGTTCAGTTCCCATTGGTCTCTTGTACCTACCTGGGCATACTGGGTGCCCACCATCGAGACATAGACCGTTGGGCCCCCCCATTAAACCACCAGTACCTCGCTCAGCTATGGGCCGCGGGCACTCCCGTATACGCGCCGCAGCCCTAGGGGGGTCGTTCAAGGGAAGGCCCGGTCGCCGCGCGAAGGGCTCCACTTCCCTAGGAACGACACACTTGAGAAAACAAAAAAAAAGAAAGAAGGTAAAAAAAAAAACAAATACACAAACGAAAAAAAAAACGAACGGACAAAAAGTTGAAGTCGCGCCGGAGAGAGAGAGAGAGAGAGAGAGAGAGAGAGAGAGAGAGGGG